GGTTTATAAGTGAGGAATACTAACTCCATTGGGATGAGGCCTTTTGGGGAAGCCCAAAGCAAAGCCATGAGAGCTTATGCTCAAAGTGGACAATATCATACCATTGTGGAGAGTCGTGTTCGTCTAACAATATCATCTCAATTGTAATGTCCAGTGGCTAACTTGATCATAGTTTCAATAACATGTAGGTTCGATCCCTAAGGTTTCTTTAAATATTTGTTAGTCCCACAATTGGTTGGAAGAATCAAAATTTGTAGTTTCTTCTTCTTGCGAAGTTTCCTTTTTCCACTAAAGTAGTGCTCTTAGAAAACTAACAAACCATCCTCGAAACTATTAAATAAGAGTGTCTCAAAGCTCTAAGCAAAAGGAGGGTCTGTCGTTCCCTTCTTTATTTCTTCCCAGTAATTCGAAAAATAAGATGCATTAACCATTGATGTAACTCTAGGACTATTGTGAAAATAGTAACTCCCAAGATCTTAATATAAAATAACATAGAAAACGTGTAATTTTTGTGACTTTTGTTTATATAACTATAAGGGAAAAACAATTTATGCTCCCAAACTTTGTATGTTGGATCAATTAAAACTCAAAATTAATAATTGTACCAATGAGAACTCTAAACATTCACAAGTGGATCAATTTAAACTTGTGAGAATTATGAATTTGATATGATTGTTAGTTTAAGTTTTTAGTTAATTCAATTTGTTAGAATCAAGCATGTGGTGTTGGAATCAAGCATGCGTTTATTATGAATTAAACGTTTTCAAATGGAAAAGTAACAAAGGGTTAAAATTGATTCACTCATGCAAGTTTAGGATTTTGGTTGATATAATTGTTAGTTTAAGTTTTTAATTAATTCAATTTGCGAAGTTTAAAAGTGTATAAATTGATATTTTGCCTAATCATAATGATAAAAATAATGGGAAAGTCTTTTGACAACTTCATTTAGGTGTGTTTGACACCTCAATTCTTTTGATAATAACATCAATAATAAAGGGAAAAAAAAAAAATTCAATTTATACCCATGAACTTAAAATTTTAAATTAATAATTGACTTTAATAAGTGAATCAATTTAGACTCTTCTTTAAGATTCCATTTTAAACTGTCAATACATTAATTTACACATGTATAAGACTTCTTTAAAATCGTTTTAAACTGCAATGCATTAATGTAAATGTAGAGATTTACATTATATTAGAAAGAAATGCATGAATCAAATGAATAGTAGGTGACTTTTCATTATATGAGTGGTTTTTCTTCTTTTTGTCTTCCTCGATTTTCACTACTTTTTTAGGAAGAATTAAGTGAAAATTTTTCTTTTTTACTTTGGTAGGGTTTTGAGTGAAGAATAATTTAATTTAGTTGATTTTGAGTTAATTTTGTTAAGAAAATAAGAAACAAACTCTTCATTCATATATGAAAGGGGAGAAAAAGTTCATGGATACAACTTCCTTGAAGGAGCAATAGAAAAATGCTGAAAAGAACCCACAACAACTAGAAAAAGGAACCAAAAAAGAAAAGATTACAAGAACCATTTACACACACACACACACACACACACACAAAAAAAAAAAAAAACCAAATAGGCTACAAAACAACTAACCAACCAACCAACCACAAAGAAAAATACTAGGACAAAAGTAAGCTGCCTACAAAACCAACCAAAAGGAAAGAGGAAAAGTCTGGATTGGTGCCTCCACAAAACAAATGTATCAAAAAACCAAGCCGCTTGATACAACAAAGCCAAGCACCATAACCAGGATTTTGAGTTGAATTTAAATGGAATAAAATGAAAATAGTTATAAATGCTAAAAAATGGTAAAAGTTGATCACTTATAAAGGATCTAGGATTTAAATTGATATAGTTTATATCCTTTTATCTCCTCTCTTCAATGGACTGAAAGGTAAAGTCAAGAGGCTCAAATTCCCTCATCCCACATTTGTTGAACTAAAAAAAACTTTATACATATTCTTGAGACATTTTGTCTTTTCATTAATGCCTCCCAACCCCTCTCTAACACACACGAAAAGGAAAGAGAGATATAGAAGAAAAGGAAAGGAAAATATTCTGTTCACGCTGGCCCAACCTCAATCAGACCTAAGCGAACTATGGAGCACAATGATATGGAATATAATGCATGTGGTTGAAATTATAAATCCTTTGTTAGCATGAAGATGCTTTTTGGAATTTATCTGATACATCTGTGAATTAAAAGACATTGACATATTTTCCTAGTTATTGCTTGCAGGAAAAATAGTATTTACTGCTCCTTCTCGACCACTGGTCTTGCAACAGATAGAAGCATGCCATAATATTGTGGGAATACCACAAGTACGGCGGTAAACTCGTTGTTCAACAAAATGGTTTGATGGATCAGTGGTCTTTCTCTAGATATCTTATTCTGTTAATTTGAACGATTAACATATATTCAAAGACTGTCTAATCAAACTTATTGCAGGAATGGACCATTGACATGACAGGTCTGATAAATCCTACAAAAAGAGCATGTTTTTGGAAAAGTAAAAGAGTTTTCTTTGTTACACCACAAGTGCTGGAGAAGGATATTCAATCTGGTGATTCTTGTAATCCTTAGCCCTCTTGTATTGTGAGTGGTGACTGGTCGGACTTGCGAATTGCAATTTTGCATCATTACTCTTACTCTCACTGTGAGGGGAAACTTATGTAGGACACTGTTTCATGCCTGGTTTTATTTGTTTATCCTTAGTCAAAGACGTAACAGAATGTACTATTGAGATGTTCCAGGCTAAAATATTGTAGTTTATACTCTGATTTTTGAATGAAAAACGAAACTTATGCTGATTGCAAACCTTTAATGATCATTTTCTTGAAATTATATCCATTATTTACCAGAGTTCTATATCTTCATTGAATTGATTTTTGTTATCATGTAGGGGTGCTAACTCTTATACTAATATAAAATTTCACATTAGTTATCATCCATTCATTTTTTTTTTAAAAAAAAAACATTATAAAGTTTCTTTCCAGCTCATTTTGTATGATGTATGACAGAAAATAGAACATGCAATCAGTATGCTGATTATGTACTTTTCATTATTTAAATTATGAAATCAAAATTTGGCAGGCACATGTTTGGTGAAATACTTGGTTTGCCTAGTGATTGATGAGGCCCATCGAGCACTTGGAAATTACTCTTATTGTGTTGCAATTCGTGAGGTCTGTTGTTCAGTCTGTACTGATTTTCCATTTCTGTTGAATCTTTCACTTCGAGTATATTACTTGAACTTGCAAGTTTTTTATGCAGTTACCTGTATGATCTTAAATGTGCAGTTAATGATGGTACCTGTGCCACTAAGAATACTAGCCTTAACTGCCACACCAGGATGTAAGTTTCTACTGAATTCTTTTTCAGATTGTTATGTATATACTCTAAATCTCCAGTTACATGTACTCAGCAAAGAAGCAGGGTATTCAGCAAATCATTGACAACTTACACATTTCAAACCTTCAATATCGTGATGAAAGTGATCATGATGTCAGTCCATATGTTCATGACAGGAAAATAGAATTGATTCAAGTATGCAAAAAATTATGTCTTTAAGTGAGTGATGTTCATTTATTATAGATTTGATATTGTATCTGTAAACTTGTAGGTTGCAATGGGAGAAGATGCTTTTGAGATAAATAATAAGCTCTTGGAAGCTATACGTCCATTTGTGGCTAAACTTTGTTCAATGGGAGTTCTTCAGGATAGAGATTATAGAACGGTGTGGTACAAATCTTTTGATGCGCATAAGAGTATTCAAGGAACCAATTCAACATACTATCTTTAAGATAATATTAACATAGTGAAATGGATAATAACTGGGGAAAAAGAGATTGAGAGAGAGATTCCATCCTTTTTCTAGTCTTTAATGCTCATATGCTTCCTAGAATTTTTTTTATTCTCGTTTTAAAAAAATAGAGAGATTAGTTTGACAATCGATTGATAGAAAAGTGAAACTCTTAAACAATCCTTCTACTAATGTTTTAAAAAGCAACCCTAGGAGCATCTATTTGTAGCTATTTTATTTATTCTTTAAGACCACAAATTTTGGTTTATTTTATTTTATTTTATTTTGTTTTAAATTTTGTAATTATTATAACCATCGGTTATTCTTATTTCCAACAACTATTTTTTTTCTGTTCTCCTTTTGTTCCAGTTGAGCCCATGTGATTTACTGAACTCGAGGGATAAATTTCGTCAAGCACCCCCATCAGTCCATCCACACATTAAGTATCAAGATGTGGAGGGTTACTTTGGAGTACTCATTACACTATACCATATACGTAAGTTACTTTCAAGCCATGGAATAAGGCCAGCCTCAGAGATGCTAGAAGAGAAGCTGCAGCGAGGGTATTTTCATTTTAGATTGCTTCTGTTGAGTTTTTTTTTACTGGAAACACGTGGTACAGTTTTTTTTATGCACCTCTTTGCACGATCATGTTATTAAGAATGATAGATGGTAACTGATTTTATAGGGCTTCTTGTTAATAATCAACTTACATATTATCTTTCCTATTTTTTTAAAAATCAATCTGATTAACTAACTGGAGTGTTTCTTTTGTTAAATATTATTATTATTTTGGATAAATTACAAGTTTAGTTCTTAGACTTTGGGGTTGTGTTTGTGTTTGTTTAGTCCCTGAACTTTCAAAAATGTCTAATAGTCTCCTTACAAATTCAAAAATTTTAAAATTTAATTGTTTTATTAGAGAGATGTGTAACGTAATCTTAAATTTTCAATTTTAGAAATAGTAGATTAGTAAATTTTAATTTTTTTTTTTGCAAGTTTGGGGACTAAATTCGTAGTTTTGAAAGTTTAGAAACCAAATAGAAACAAATTTCTAAGTTTTAACTTATTGTTTTCTTTTTTAAAACCTATTGATTGTGATGTAACAGAATGTGAGAGGTTTAAGAGAAAAGTGTTTTATATTATTCATTTATTTTGCTCATTAGAGTTATATGTATTGATGGACATATGTGCCTCAAACGAATAGAATGGGACAAGTTCCTTATCAAGTATTTACATAATTATTCCTTAGTACACAAACTATAACATATAACTTGGTATGTAAGTATGAACCTTCGGAAAGTTTCTTGAGTAATAATATTCTGTCCATTCTTGAGTTAAATAGTCTGTATCTAATAAGTTGAATGGGGTGAAGTTCAGGTTCATACACATCTTAAAGCTTGTGAATTATGATCAATGAGATAGTAAAAAAAAAAAAAAAAAAAAAAAAAAAAAAAAAAAAAAAAAAAAAAAATGAAAAAAATGAAAAAATGAAAACCATATAAGATATTGTTTAAGGAGTACCATTCCATACATCAATGATTAATTACCCTATTAGCTACTAAGACTCAACTAGTAATTTGTCTTTTTCCCCAGAAGCAGATAATTTTTTTTCTTTCATTTTTTTATAACTAGAAATAAAACTTTTCATTAATGGTTGAGAAGTTGAAAAGAGGACAGAAGTGCGAAGACACAAAGCGTTGACAAGAAAGCCAAAAAAAAGGTTGCTAGATTTCAATTGAAGATTTATCTTTGGCTGACAAATGTTTGGTGGATTTCAAAGCTTTCTAGTCAATTTGTTGAGATTTTTTTTGTATGGTATTTGGTTAAATTCTTCAATTCCATGGAGTGTTCTGAAAACAATAAATAATACATCTTTTTTGGTTGGAGAGGATCTTCAAAATATTTGACATCAACCATCTTCCTTGGCTTTGGCTCATTGAATGTGCAAGTCTTAAAGTTTTCTTCGAAGGGTTCTCCATCCAAGTAGTTTGGTTCTTTTATTTTACAAGATATTCAGCTTTCCAGAGTTACCTTTAGAATGAAATCAAAGGTTCTTCCATATGAAGCTCCTCCCTCGGATAGATCGCTTTGCTTCAACTTGTCTCAAGGATTTTGATGGTGTTTTCTCTCCAAGTCTTAGTAGGAATGCCTTTTTCTTTCCGCTGCAGTGCTCTTTATTTATTACTTTCATTTACTGTTTTCGATTTCACTCCCTTGTGGAGTTTGTATTTGTTGGTCATTAATCTCTTTTCATTCCATCAATGAGAAGTTATTTTTCTTGTTAAAAAATGAAAGAAAAGAAAATAGTAAACATCCTACAAAGAAAAGCCCTTCAGTTTGTACAAATATCAGAGAATGATTAACCTTAAAACCCTGAGATAAAGAACACCAATGAAAAGCCCCTGAGATAAAGAACACCAATGAAAAGCTTTGATCTTGATAAGTTTCAAGGCTTGCGAGCCTTGAAATACTTTTTAGGGATGGAGTTTGCAAAATCTAAAAACGATTCTTTTGTTAAATAAAGGAAGTATATTATTGGCTATCTTCAAGAGACAGGTTTACTTGACTGTTGTACAGCATATTATTGAACTGAATAAGAAATTACAAGCTGTAGAAGCTGAACAAGTAAAGGACAAAGAAAAATACCAGACTTGTGGGTAGACTAATCGATTGATCTCACACTCGTCCAAATATAGCAATTGGAGTATCGTCCAAATATAGCAATTGGAGTAAGTATGGTGAGTCAATTCATGCATTCACTTGTATCCATTCATTTCGAAGCAGTATATAAATCTTGAGATATTGGAAAGGAACTCTAGGTAAAGGTAGGAACATGTCAATCTTCAAATTGAAGTATTGCTGATGTAGATTAGGCTGTAAGCACTACTGATAGAAGATCTACTTTTAGTTATTTTTCATTTGTTGGAGGAAATTTAGTTACATGTCGTAGAAAAAAACATAATGTAGTTGTCAAAAATAGAGTTAAAGCATAATTTAGAATCTTAGTACATGAAATTTGTCAAGTGATATGGATTAATAGGATACTTGAAGAATTGAAATTGTCTAAAAAAATACCTACGCGGGTCTATTGTGATTACATGACTGTTATTACCCTAATTCATAATCCAATCCTACACGATAGGACAAAACATATTAAAGTTGACAAGCATTTCATATAAGATAACATTGAGGCAGGTGTAATATACATATCTTATCTTTTGATGACAAAACAAACGACCTATATGTCAACTAAAGGTCTTCCAAAAAGACAATTTGATAAACTTATCAACAAGCTGGCTGTGGATGATACTTACAAACCCGCTTGAGGGGAGTGTTGGATTTCCTTTTATATCTTTTGTAATATTGATTGTGTATTATGTATATATTCCTTAGTTATATTTGTAATATTTCTTTTCTTATTGGTTGAGGGTCTTTCTTCTATATAAGAAGAAATACAATAATATTATTCTTCTTCCCCAAATTTAAGTTTTTGTTTACTTGAAGTTTTAGCTATCACATTCATGGATCCGTACTTATTGCAGGTCTTTTGCAAGATTTATGAGCAAAAACGATCATATCTGCAAAGTGAGACTCATCATGGAGAAGAGCTTGATCCATGGTGCACCAAGTCCCAAATTGTCCAAAATGATGGAAGTATTGGTCGACCATTTTAGTAGGTGCCAATAGTAGTCATGACGTGCCATCTTTATATTATACCACAGTTTCTGTTACAGTATTGATGCCTGAGATAGTTCAAGTTTATTTTCTGAAGTTTATTCATTACTATCTCTATATTTCAAGTATTTGAATACTCCATAGTCTTGAGAGCATGATATTATGGTATTGTTTGAATATTACTGGTCGGAGAAAAATGTACAATCCGTTGATGTGCACTTGTTTTTTCTTCTTCTAGAAGTCATTTTGTCCATATCTAGGGTTCCATCTTGTTTGCACATTTTCTCTTCTCTATTCTTTTTTCTCTTTTTGTCTCCTGCACTCTTAATTATTTGCCTCTTGGTATACAGCGAATGGTCATTGACTTAAAAACCCACATACTTACTGAGAATAGATCGTTGGAATTAAAAGTTCTTGATTTGGTATCTATTCTTATTCAGTTTTTGTAGTGTATGTGCATTTCTTCAATGTAGTGTAAGTTTGGTTGGAGGGATTGGGTTGGTAAGAGGCTTTCTTTTGAATTTGGACTGGATTTTAAAAATCTCAGCAGTGAAATTTCAATTCTTTTCCAGGGGGACAAACGGATGATTGTAGTAGCTGACTCAAAACTAACCTCATGGGCTAAGCATTGTAGTAAAGACCTTTAGATTCAATTAACTGGTCGTGGTTCCAAGTATCCTTAGTCACATATCTTGGGTATTAAACGTCCTTTAAGCCTCTAGTTTCTCAAATAATAGAGTTAGCTGGTGGTCCTTTCTTTAGAATCTAATGTGTCCGGAACATACTCAATATCGTTGAAATTGGGTTTGAGAAACTGGAGTTGGTAAAAACTTGCTTTTAATTTTAGATAGGCAGTGAAATTTCTAACCATTTATGTAAAGAAAAATGATTGTTGTAGCTAACTCAAAGCTAAGCACAAGGGTTTAAAGTGTTTGTGGGTTCAATATAACCTGTGTCACATATCTTAAGTATTCAATTTTCTATAAATCTGTAGACTACTGAATAGCATGTCACTTTTTAGTATGAAACCGATTTTCCTGATGAGTTTGTTGCCAATGGCTGAGATGTAACTTAAAGCTTTGACATGTTAGTTGACAAAGTAAATATGTTTCAGAAACTAAGGATCCAAAAGATTCAAGGGTGATTATATTCTCAAATTTCAGGGGAAGTGTAAGGTGAAATATTTTTTCCAAGTTCAATTTCGTAGTGATGATTTAAAAGTGCACACATTCCAATCAATTATTCATCCTTAACTTGCCTCAATGTGATAATAATACTAGGGACATTATGGGTGCACTAGCCAAAATTGAAGACATAGTCAGAGCTACTGAGTTTATTGGCCAAAGCTCAGGTTTGCAATTTCATTTTCTTCACTTTTTGTTATTTTTTAAGTTAAATTATTAGTTTAGCCCTTGAACTTTCAAAGTTGTATTTAATAGTTTATGGACCTTTTAGACAACATTGAAAGCTTATAGAGGCTTATGATCACTTTTTAAATTCTGGAACCTCCTATTCGACAGACTTGAAAGTTGAACTATCGTGCTTGTAATTTGACCTTTTACTTATTATATGACAACTGATATCTTCTTCGCTTTATCTCAATGTTTTTGCATTTCATAGTGGGTTACGATGGATTTTTTTTCTTTCTTTTTCTTTTTTCATAGAAGGGTTAATATCGGATATGTCCATCTTTTTGCATGTAAGCGCATGAGAAATGATTAAATTGTAGAGAATGTTCTTAGGACTATTATTTTCATCTGGATAGTCCTCTAGTTGAAAAGTCAATAGAAAAAGCTTATCAATTCGAATTGGGTTTAAATATATCTAAATTGTTCCAGTTATGTTCTTTTTGCAATTTATTAGAGCTTGGACATCTTCTATTTGTATTGTAGGAAAATCTCTCAAAGGTCAATCACAAAAGGTTCAACAGGCTGTTTTGGAGGTAGGCAATCAGGGTTTACGGGTAACTACCCCTATTAGTTAATGACACTGAATTAGTATATTTTTTGCACAGAAATTTCGTGCTGGCGGGTACAATGTCATTGTTGCCACATGCATTGGCGAAGAAGGCTTGGATATAATGGAAGTTGATCTTGTCATCTGTTTTGATGCAAACATTTCACCAATAAGAATGATTCAGCGGATGGGTCGAACTGGAAGGAAACATGATGGACGAGTGGATATCCTTTAATATTCAATTATCTATGAATCTCATTCTTCGAGTTCCGAATTGTTATATCTAACGTAGTTTTTTTGTCAGTTTAGTAATTTTTTCTCTTGAAGAAACTTAACTCAAGAAATACAGACATAGATGTGATGGTATGCCATTTTTGTTATTTATTAAGACGGATAATACAAGGATGCAATTATTAAAATATAGACTTTTAATAATTTGAAAACACACACCTTTTAATAATTTTCCCTGAATAAGTTTATTTTATTCTATAATATTTAAGCTCATTTAGTGAAGCTTCTTTTTTTTTCTTTGAACAAGAAACTTCTCATTTGATATAATAAGAATGAAATTGTTCAAAGGATACAAACAGACCAAAGCCAAGAACTATGACAACCAATCACTAGAGAACAAGGGCCCCAAATCTACGAAGATAAACTGCAACCGAAGCTCATGAAGAGGGGGAAGTAAACTACCTGATAAACCTTTATACAGAACCTTTTGAAATTTGTGGAGGGATTTCACGCATCTCAAAACCATATTCTTCAATTTTAGGAGATACAAGTTTGGTGTTTTTCATATTCAATATTTTCTCCTAGAATTATTTTTATGTCAAATATTTTCTGGGGAGGTGATTGAACCCTTCAAATGTCCAATACGTGCTTGGTTATCTGGTCCCTATTTGACATGGTCGCATAACTAAAGCATTCATGCCCCAAAGCTTGGAACTTCATCCCCCTTGTTTTCTCTTTTTATGCTAAGTATATAATTTCCTTGACTACTATTACTAGTTTTAGCATGTGAAGGTTCAGAATTGAAGGGCTACATGAGAAAGCAAACGACCAGCAAGTCTATAAAGAAACACATGCAAAATGGGGGAATAAATAGCTTCAACTTTCATGCTAGTCCTAGAATGGTTAGATCATTTGACAGAAGTCTTTCTCAACATAGTATTGCTTTCTTATGATATCCATTCTTTTCTATTATTTAGATTCCCCATACTATCAAACCAGAAGTCCAGTTTGTTAAGCTGTCAATCAAACAATTTGTTCGTCCTGGAAAGAAAGTGAAAGATGAACATGCTGTTCAGATAACATCATTTAAGAACAAGCTAACTAATACAGAGACTGAGTTACTTCTCAAGTATTTCCATCCTTGTGAAGACGCATGGAAGCCGTCCATTATTGCCTTTCCTCACTTCCAGACATTTCCCTCGAGAACCCATGGAGTAAGGCATTCAAGTAGAACAATGATTCTAATTGACACAATGCAACACTTGCAAGGACTGTATTTTTCTAGGGATTCTGAAGCTTTCTCTGTTCAGGTTTGTTTTCAAGTTCGCTTCTACATTTTTTTTTTCTCCTTAAAAGAAATTACTTTCTAGTAATTGGCTTATCATATAACATGGATGGATTCAGGAGAAACCATGCATTAGAGAACTATTTGAAGCAAGTCAGATTGGAAAATGTTATGGCGGCAAAAGAGGTAAATGTTCAATTGATACTAGCTAAATCATGTATTTATAATATTTTCAAAGTTTGTTTAAGAACCTTTGGCTTAATTTTATTCGGGCTTTTTTGTGGTCTATTTCGCTAAAGCGTAACTCTAGCATCTTCAACGAAAAGGAACGAGACTTGCAATCTTTTCTCACATTTATCATTTACTTGTCTCTCTATTGGTTTAAATTGAGTTTGCCTTTTTGTAATTATAGTGTAACAAATCTCATGACGAATTGAGTTTGCCTTTTTGTAATTGAGTTTGTCTCTCTATTGGTTTACTGAACTCATTATGGTGGGGTGTTTCTATTAATACTAAGCTCATGATAATTTATTTGTTTAAAATGAAAGTTGTGATTATTTTATAGGTTCAATTAATGAAGTCAGCGCACCAAAAACTGAATTAGAAGGGCCAATAGTTTATCCTGAAGTCTCAGCACCTCCAAATCCTACAGAAAATAATTGTAGTTCTGTTTACTGTTCTCTGAAGCATCCTTCGAACATTGGCTCAGGTTTTGTATCTGTTGATGCTATGGGAGAGGACCAAATATCACGTTTCCCCGTGTTCTCTTCAAAAGAAATATTGCATTCCAATTCTGTTGATGCATGCAGTAAAATATTGTTGAGTTCTCCTGAGCTAGGTTCTTGGCGTGTAAGAACTGCTCAGGACTTGATCGTGCGGACTGAAGCTGTCGATGAACCCACAACTTCTCAAACTAAATTCTTACAGAATGAGGTTCTGCCAAGCCCTGAAACTGATGATGCAACCGTCTTGGAAGACAAAGCAGTGAACCAGATTGAGAAAATTCATCAAAGCACTGTCTTGAAGAGAACTTTTTTTAATGAAGGAGATAATACCGATGAAAAGCCTGTTGTTTTAGAAATTGAGCCACAATTCCCCCCGGCTGATGAATGCAGTATAATTGAGACACAGCTTAGTCCCCGTCTCACTAATCTAATCGAAAGTGGTTTTGTTCCAGACTCACCAATTGATGAGTGTGGTACATGATTTTTCGAAAATATTACTTTATATTCTATTGATAAAGAGGGAATGTTCAAATGTCCTTTCATTTGTTTAGTGAAGATAAGAATTCATGCTAATGGGGGTTTTATTTTCAGGATACTCTAGACAAAGGATATATGAATCCGCAATATCACAGTTTATCTTGCCTGTCCAAGTGGATGGTGAACAGCTTTTAAAATCCTCAAGTCCTGGGATAAACAAAAGAATTAATTGCAATGAGGGCTCCCATGCTGGAAATGACGTTTTTCTCGCTAGTGGTGAAGATCGACCTTCTGTACTCGAGGATAATGATAGCGTGGGTGTAAAATCACATGGCTTTACTTCTCCTGTGGCTGAAGAAACACAAACTCCCTTTGCCATTATTGCAAGCAGTTGTGATAATGAAGATTGGAATTTAGTTTCTGGAGAAAAGTCCAGCAGTGTACAGAAGCCCCGCAAATTCAAAAGACTGCGAAAGGTTGGAGACGTGGAGAAAAATGAGAACACCGAAAGCGCGGAGAAAACTTCAGTTTCTCCACTGGCAAATATGGTCGGAACTTTTTCTAGCTCCAGACACATAAAAAAAAAGAAACGGGATGGTATTTTTTTCTCTCATAGTTCAATTTTTGGAATTTCGTTGTCAGTGCTAAATATTAGTGAGGATCTAATAGAGCATACTTTCAAACAAAGTAAATCTGACCAAGTTGCTACTTGTCAATATCAATTGCTGCATTTAGGTGAAAGGAGATTTGAGGACAATGTTAGAGCATATATCGAGGAGGAAGCTGAGTAAGTCCATAAATTAACTTGTTAAAGGGAGTAAACTGGTAAAGGAGTTCAATGTTAAATTTAATTTATACTGTTGGTAGAGATACGATAGTTTAACTGAGTGCTCAAGTTAAAAGGAGGCACTGATACAGTTGTGAATATTTTTGTGCCTCATTTCTTGTTTGCATCTAGGGTTTCCTCTGATGCTACCATATCTGGGGATGAAGAAGATGATATGATTAAGAGCTCGTTCGATAGTTTCATAGATGATAGGGTTAGTGCTAGTGCCACGAGTACTCAAGATGAAACAGGTGGACATGATATGATGGCAATTTACAGGTTTCTATAAACTCCATCTTTCTCTGTTATTTAATTTTTATGGGTATGTGACGTTCTCTCATTATACGACAATGTGGCAGATTTTACCATAAGGCCCTTAGTCTAAGAAACCTTAGCGACCGTTTAAATGTTTTGTTTTTATCATTCTGGTAAGAAATGGTGATAACGTGTTGCAAGAGAAGGATAGAAGAATGGGGAAGTGTGTTTACAAAGTAGAGTTATTTTTATGAATACTATACTAAAATTGTGATCTTATATAACAGACGTTCGTTGCTAAGTCAATCACCATTCGGGAGGCTGACTTCACCCCACGCGACCAGAGTAACTGAAAGTGAAACTTCTCCTGACAAGACATTGAATGTTTTTCAGACAACTCTAACAGGAAATGTCAATCAGTCTCATACAATGCATTCAGAACATGTCAAAATGAAGCGTAGCCCAGAAGTTGTAATTTCTACAACTGGTGGCTGCCCAAGCGCGACAGAAGTGGAAAGCAGGAATAGAAATTTGACATTTTGTGCATCGGAATCGGTTCCTAAACTTAATTTGGATAGACAATTTGAGTTGGTGGTGGCAGGAAGAGAATCAATAAGTGATGTGGATGATGAATTTTATGAAGGTCTTGATCTTGATGCAGTCGAGGCCCAGGCTAAATTGCTCCTTGAAAAGAAAGTTGAGCTGCCTCAGATGATGGTTACCCAGCCGCACAAGAATTTGGATCTCCACACTTCTCCATCTTTTGATCTTGGGATATGACCATTTTTTATGTGCATCTCTTCTTCAAGTACTTAAATATGCTTAAGTTATGATTTATTTGTTGGATGGGGAGACGTATGTAAAAAAACAATGTACAAAAATTATTGAAATAAGATCTTCAGTTTTGTTACTAGACTTTAATACTAAATATGGATGTTTAACTTATAATTTAAATTCATCAATAGTACCATCAATGGAAGGATCTATGAATTTTAAATCTTTTTTGGGTACATATTTAATAATTTTAATTGAGTCTATGTTGTTTATTCTAATCCACAAATAAGTGGATTAATTAGAGTAAGCGCGCACTTTTACCGCTGCAGCGTTTTGGCGTTCTAAATTGCTCCGTTCTTTTTGTCACACAACTAATACATACTTCCACCAAAAAGTCGAGCCTGGACGAATGAAGTGCATCTGAACGATGGCCTTCACCGCAATATCTTCTTCACTGCAGTCTTCTTCTTCTTCTTCTGTGCCTTCAGTTATCTCCTTCCAATGCCCGTCATCTCCCGCCATTCTATCACAGAAATCCTCGTCTCTCTCGTGGGCATCTTCATTTCCGCATGTTACCATATCCAGAGGCTCTCCTGTCGTCTCTTCGAATCCCGCGCATGACAAGGTATAATTTCTTTACTGCCGTCCTATTCGATTCCTTGTCTGTTCCGGAGGATATCTTACCTTCATTTTGAAGTTTATGCATTATCGATTGCGGACCTCTTGCGCAACATCCACGAATTTCTCGATAGGGAGAATTATTTGCAAGGAAGTTTAATATGTTGTGGGTTTGCTGCTTGTTGTGTATTCGAGCCAATAGTCAGTACGAACTCGACCATATCTCAACTTGCCTAAAACTGCTGCATAGTAAAGTAGAGTCTTCTTCAGGATATGGTTTTGAGAATTTACTGCCTGCAGTCATTTTTAGGAGAATAGTCGTGCTGTTATTATGGCTGGACAACACAGAAATGACTGTTACATGGTATACAGAGTTCTCAACTATTTTCTGCTTCGTTCCAGGTCATATGACTTTATTACTATTGTTGAGCCATATTCCAGTTCCGCATCTTTATAATTCTTCGTTTTCGACCTTCTATTTTATTGTTTCAAAAGCTTGTTGCTAGCAGGCAAGCTTGGATTCAGGTCTAAAACTCGTGCTGTGGCCTGTGATTATGAGACTCACTAGCTACATGGTTAATTAGGACTTGTGCCGATCTTCAACCTTTTGATTTTCGCCTCTCTGAAAATTTCAATGCAGGGGGAAGTGGTTGGTTTTTTGGTCAGTTTTTTTTTTTTTTTTAACCAAATACTCGTTTGGGCTCCATAGACTTGGACCCCACATTAGATAAACATGGGTTCCATCTCAAAACTGATTTGACAATGAGATGAGTAACTCATGTATCGTTTAAAGATGGTGAGATCACCCATCTTTCCAATGTGGGATCTTCAACACTTATTGACGTACCAATTTGTCAAACACATAGATACATGCATGCCTAATAAAGGGGGTGTTGATTGGAAGATAATCTGAAACATAGCGTAGTTTTCCGTCCAAGTTTTTATAAACTTTTAATTGCAGGTGTTCTTATTATCCCGTGCATTTTTGCGTTATTTTAGAGTAGGAAGCCAATGTATATATTTTTCATTGCTGCAATCGGCTTGACGCTGTATACTGTGAGGCCTACATTAGAGCAAGGCCCGCTTAAAGCTGCATTTAGTTGATAAATGCAATGTATTCACTCTTTTAACAGATCCAGGTTACTGTTACGATTTGAATTTCTTTTGATAATGAATCAGCAAGTTTACACTTGTAGGTCTTATTTATACAATCAGCTTGGACAAGAAGGTCACGCGAGGAGGCTGCAAAACGACCGAACAAGAAATCATGGAAACAAAGGACAGATATGTATATGAAGCCATTTTTACTCGACGTTTTCTTTTCGAAGAAATTTGTTCATGCAAAGGTAATGCATAGAGGAACAAGCAAAGTGATATCGGTTGCGACAACAAATGCAAAGGATCTTAGGAACAGTCTACCATCACTTACAGATCACAATGCATGCAGAGTAATAGGGAAGCTTATTGCCGAGAGATCAAAGGAAGCAGATGTCTATGCAATGTCGTACGAGCCTAGGAAGGATGAAAGAATTGACGGTAAGCTTGGCATTGTTATTGATACCATTAAGGAGAATGGGATAATGTTTGTACCTTGAGTTTAAATAAAGGGAAGAATAATAAGACAAGAAAACAATTTATCTAGATCCTCTAATAGGCAGTAGAGCATAAGAATGTTCCTGTTTAGCTTGTTTGAACTATCGGAAGCTGTTGGTCTTACTACTCCCTTGCATAGCTCTGGTTTATTTAGTTAATTTTATGATTGTATCTTATGATTTCGGGAGTTGACTTCCAACTTCCAAATTCCCTTTATGGTTGTTGTATAACGAAAGTTGTTAGAAGAAAATGATAAAATATGTAACATTCTTATGGAAATATTATTGAATCAAATAGACTCAAACTCGAATCAAAATATATTTTTTACCCCTAAACTTTGAGGCGTATATCAATTAAAACTTAAAACTAACTAATTTCATTTAAAATCAACTCAATTAAAATTAAAATAAATTTATTTTTTTAAAGTTGAAAGAAAAATTACCATCTAATTCTTTATAAATATTATCATGTAATTCTTTATAATTACATGGAAAAAATAAATATTTGTATAAACCTAGAAATATATATAATATATATATTTTTTTTCCTTCACGAAAATTACAAAAGAAAGTAGAAAACATGAAAAAATCTCAATACTCTTGCACTGCCCGGAGGCAACATTCGTGGTCTGTGAATCCTCGAGGAAGAAGAGCAACGGTGATGAGGATCAATTTCTGAACCCATCCTCCTCGCCATCCTCAAGAAATATGGGTAAGTCTGAAGGTCCCAATCCGCCTCCTTCACCCTATGCCAAAATTCACCCCTCCAATGACCCCGACGTTGATCACAATTCATATTCCCTCGAGAAATTCAGACTTTACGAAACCAGAGCGGTAACCTCTTCACTTTCATTCTGCCTTTTTCTTTACTATTTTCTGTCATTAGAAAGCACAGATGTGATTCGTTTACGGGTCTTTTTGTCACAACTATGTACCTCTTTCTCCAATTCCCTGGCCGCCCTGAGAAAACTAGTTCAAAATAAAATTGGTTTCCTGGGAAGTGTGTCAAAAAGATTAATCTTCGAATTTTAAGGTTGTTTTTCTGCATTTATCATAACCCCCGACCTTTAAATAATTCTATTGAGCGAGTTAAAACAATAATTCTATTGAGCAAGAGAAGCCGAATGTTCAGCGGATTTAATTTAATTTTATTTTATTGCATTGATTTCTCCTAAGCAGAGATATTATCTGATTGGGAGCGATCGCTACAAGAGATTCTTCCGAGTGTTGAAGATAGATCGGTCGGAACCATCAGAACTCAACATCAGTGAAGACCCGGTGGTATATTCGCTGCAAGAAATCAGGAACCTCCGTCAGCGAATTGCTGAAGGGAATCGTGCTACGGGGGGTTTAAACCCGGTTACAAAGGCTTTTGGTATTGCAGGTTGATCTTGGTTCTGCTTTTATGTGCCTATTCTTCCTTGAATCTTTTCGCGTTTTCTGTGACATGTTTTATGCTTGTAGGTTGCATTAAATGTTTGGAGTCGTATTACTTGATTTTGGTTACCAAGCGTCGGCAAATTGGATGTATATGCGGTCATGCAATATATGGCATAGATGAAACCCAATTGATTACAATTCCACACGTCTCAGTTCAGACAGATGTAGCACACTCTAAAACTGAGCTGAGGTAAGTCTAAGCTGCTCTTATGGTACTTGTCTCATACTGTCTCATGCTTAGCATGTAACCTTTTCTTTATCTTCCAGAATGTGAAACTGTTGAAAGAGGTTGCATGTCAAAAGCTTCTTTTCCATTTTTGTACAACTGTTCTTTACCAGCTTATTGGTTTAACATTTGGAACCATATACGACACAAATTAATAGCATTTGTTGCTATGTTTGTTGCAGGTATAAAAAACTCTTATCCAGTGTCGATTTGACCAAAGATTTTTTCTATAGCTATACGTATCCAATTATGCAAAGTTTGCAAAAGAATGCCATGTCAACTGCTGCAGAAGGAATGCCATACGACAACATTTTTGTCTGGAATGCTTATTTGACTCGAGCAATTCGATCACGATGCAATAATACTGCATGGACCATAGCATTAGTTCATGGACATTTCAAGCAGGTATGCAATATAAGTCCTTTCTCTTACCTCTTTTTCATGTTGTGCATTTTCATTATCTTTAATGTAGTTAGTTTGGAGACCTAACAATATATTGCCCCTCTCGCTCACATTTTTCTGCTATTTGTTGGGGTAGCATCAGTTTTCTATTTTGTTAATTTGATGAATGGTTTATTGTTTGCTTGTTGTTAACTTGAGATTATATTAGTTGCTAGTCTATCATATTAGCTACATATCAGTTGCTTGAATTTTCATTACTATCTTTTTATTAGTTGCTACATCAGATTGGTTGTCTCCACCATCAAAGTTATCAAGTTGTAGCATGTTTAGAAAGTTTTTTTAGAACTCAAGTATGCAACTGTACGACCTAATTAGAACATTGCATGTACAAGCGAGATCATTAGTACTAGATTTGATGAGATTTATGGAAGTTTAGCCTCAACTAGGTAGACTTCTGAATCATCTCGGCTTAAGGCTTCTACATGGTGTTCACTCTCCTAGAACTTTCCTAGTTTCCCTTTGCAGGATATATGTCTTAATTAAATGCTTTTATTGCTCCTCTGTAGCTTTATTATTTACTTATTTATACACTTTTTCTTTTCTTTTCACTCCATTGTGGAGTTTGCATCTTTTGTGCATTAGTTTCTTTTCATTACATCAATGGAAAGTTTCGTTTCTATTAAAAAGACTTGTAAAAAAATCCTGGCTTATGTTATTCCTTGCAAGGAGAGAATCAATTCTATTAATGAGCTTTGGCTTGGGTAGGAAGAAATCTTATGGTTTTGTAGGTTCATCTATTGTCATATGGTTTGGGTTTTTTTTTTTTCTTTTGTAAAGTTTAATGTCTTTTGGATGGGCTTTCATTGTATTGTATTGTAATTCTGGTTGCGCTATGTGTGTGCGCATTTCGTTTCTTTTGCAAAGTTTAATGTCTTTTGGATGGGCTTTCATTGTATTGTATTGTAATTGTGGTTGCGCTATGTTCTTGCATCTAGTACAGTTCGTTTGTTAGAATGCTCATATTTCCTAAAACAAATCCTAATATAAATATGTGCAGGTTAGGCTATCAATATTTGGAAGAGACTTCACTGTCACTTTGATTTCCAGGCGTTCTCGACATTTTGCAGGAACACGGTATAGTTTTGCTTGAACTTCTCATTTATATATATATATATATATATATATATATATATATATATATACACACACACACACATACATATACATTCCCAACAAAGAGATAACAATTGAAAACAACAACCGGCCAAAGTATGGCCCCAGCCAACAACCTAAAGGACTAAGGTACAGGAGTCCCTTATTCACAAAAGATAATGGGAGGGTTAAACAAAAGCACTCCAATCTAAATCGAGGGTATAGCTGGTGTAGTTACAAAATAACTTGAGAAAGACACTAATTTTTTTTTTTTTTTTTTCTTTTGGGAATAAGATGTTTCTCATTGATAGATGGAAAGATACAAAACGTTTGAGAAAAAAAACCTCCTAAAAGAGGTAAAAAAACAAAAAACCAACCAAATAAAATGGGCTAAATAAATATTATCATTAAAGGATATTATTTAAGGGAGATCTTCCATTTGAAAAGGTTGCTAGCAACTGATTTCAAAATCAAGAACTCGGGAAGTTTGAGATACTTTCTAGGAATAGAAGTGGCAAGATACAAGGACATTTTTAGTGGTTAAAGTATTGATTCTATTGGCTAAAAAAGTTTTACCCTGGGTTCTTGTGTTGAGTGGTAAGCGGAAACTTTTTTGCGAGTTTCATTTGCTTATTGAACATAGTCCAGCAAGAAACATTGTAATACGGGTTATTTAGAGGGTTACCATGGGTAGGTCTTGATCAAGAACTTGCTACTAGGAGATATTTGTTTGGTTATGAGGATATTTCTCCTTTGGATCCTACTAACATTATCCAAGGTGAATTGTCACTAAGTGATTTCACTAACCAGGTTATGAATGATGAGGGTGTCCTTGTCCCAAATGATGAGAGAAAAGGACGATATTTTCTTTAAGTCTGCAATTTATGATATTGTCTATTAAAGTGTTTAAAGAATCATCAAAGGAAGTTGAGGCGATGCTGCGACCCAGCAAGAGACGGAGGAACCTGATTTGTTGGCAGAGGAAAATAGAACTGTTCCAAAGGAATCATTGTTTGGAGGTTGAAACTGATCTCTCAGTGTGATTGTTGACACTGGAACTTCTATAATAGAGAAGGAATTTGTTATTGAATCAAAATTTGATATGAATAATGCAAATATTTTGTACAATGAAGCACTTTTAAGGGAATCATAGAGGTTAAATGAATTGCCTTCATCCCATGGATTCGTTAGTTGTAATTCAAAGTCTTTTCTTTTGCCCTTCCCTTCTTAAATATAGTATCAAAGAAGGAAAATATCGTCTTGTGAACCCTGTACAAAATTTTACATCCGGAAAAAAGACTGTTCCTTTGGATTCTCAAGATCCAAATGCGTCCCTACTCATTGGCGATATCAATGAGGAAGCTTGTGCAAATTTACTGGTTCATACAGTCAACTCAAAGAATGAAGATCTTCCAAAGGATTCATCACAGACCCTAATTGGGAATTGCTGTAATATTGGGCCCAGTGGTACACGATAAGTGTTTGATATATTTGAAAACAAACTCACCACACAACATGACTCTTCTCCCTCTATTGAGGTCTCAAATTGTGAGTCTGATGTTAGTGTAAGTAGTGTGGAACTTGACTTTCAGCATCATAGCTGCCTTTGTGAAGAAGATATAGTTGAAGATTCTGTTTTAGATGACTTAAAAACTCTTTCCAGACACACTTATCAAGTATGACTGCTCTATTTCTACAATTTCAGATAAAATTCAACCATCAAGTAGAGGCATTCTGGTACTGTAAAAGTTTTCCTCTCTAATCAAGGCAGGTAGTCTGCAGTTTAAAGAGATTCCCATTTTTTTCCCCGAGGTGTAAACAAAAAACCTTAATTATTTTTGTTGATTTTTTATATTCCAATGTTGAAAATCTCCTGGAATACAAGATTGGAGTGATCCAAAAGAACAAGTTATGTAGATTGAGTTCTATTTTGTTAGGGTCGATTTTGGAGATTTGCTTTAGCTTCTTCTGTCAGTGCCTCCATCTTTTTGGCGTTGGTGGTGTAGTTGATTGGTATGGTGTCTTCATTTCATTTGTTTGAGAATTTGAGTGGAGTTAGAAGCTTTATTGTGACGATTTTTTCTCTTGTTTATGTTTATTTTGAGGAAGAGGAATCCATCTTATGTGCTTTTCAGTTGTTTGGGGAGATCCAAATGGTTCTAGCTTGGTTTTGTCCTGCTTTTGGCTTGATTAAAGTCATCCTTTTGGTTTAGCCTTTGATCTGAAGTTTGTGAAGGCTTTTTCTCAGAATGGATAAGCATGGTGGTGGTTTTGATTTCTTTTTCTCTGCGAAGGCCTGGATTGTTGGGATTCGATTGTAGTTCTTCCCTTGTTGATGATTTATGCTGGACACACAATTTTTGAATCCGAAGTCTTTGATTCCTAACCTCAAATTGACTGTTTAGATTAGGATTGTGTCTCTTGAAAAGTTTGGTTTCATCCAGCTTGACTCAAGGCTTCATCATGGTGCTCTCTTCCCAAATCTTTTGCTGGTTTCTCTTTATATGATATATGTCTTATCTGAAATGCCTTAATTTTTCCGTTGTAATCCTCTTACATCTTTTATTACTTTCTTTTGTCCTTTCCTTATTCACTTCTTTGTAGAGTTTGAATCGTTTGAGCGTTAGTCTTTTTTTGAATTTATCAGCGAAAGATGTCGTTTCTTGTTAAAAAAGATTCAAGGATAGTGTTGTCATTATCAATGAAAATACATTTTAGCCTTGCTAAACGAGATGAGAAATCCTGGGTTCAGGTGTGGAACACTTATGAATCTAAATTTAGTCCAGAACATACACTCTTAATTTGAAAGAAAGGGTTCAGAAACATAATATTTTGACTCAGAGGGAGAAATGCCAAAGTGAAGAGGCTACTCTACTTGACAAGGGCATGTATCAAAGACTTATGAAAAAGTTAATCTACATATCACATGCCAGACCAAAGATGCATACATAGTTAGCATTGTAGCCAGTATTCAAACAGTCCAAATGAGCATCATTCTGGGGTTGAAAATAGGATTTTAAGATACTTAAGAAACACTCCAAGTCATGGGTTATTGTTAAAAAGATCATCAATCAGACTGGTAAAACTCTGTACAATACTAGTTGGGCTAGATAATTAGTTGACTCTAGTTCTACATTTGGATATTGCTTCTACGTTTGGAGAGACTTTTAGTTAGTTGTAGAAGCTTATTATTGACTACCAGCTTTAGAAATTTGGAAAGGAATGTGGATTCTGAAGCTTTTTTAGTTAAATGCTTGTAAGACCATCCTCTCTGATATTTGGTTGGAAAGAAATCAAAAGTTATTCGAAGATAAATTCCTTTGTGGATTGGATCATTTTAGCTTCTCTCTGGTGCTCTCTTTTAAAGGCTTATGCAGATTATTCTTTTGAGGACATTAGTAACAATTGGGCGGTTCTGTTAGTGTGCTGTTTTCTTTGCTATTTGTTACATTTTCTTTGTGCCTTATTTTTGTTCTGCCTTTTGTATGCCTAATTTGCATAGGTTGCTATTTCTTTCTTTTTTTGTTTTTATTTTTCCTTATTTATGAAAGAATTTGTTTCCCTTTTAAAAAAGAAACAATATGCCAATATTTATTATCTTTCTGAAAAAAATACTAATTTTCGTTGATTAATGAAAGGAAGCAAAAATGCTCAAGAACACGAACTCTTGGAAGAGTGAAAAGAACACAGACAAGAGTGAAATAAAAAATGTGACAAACAAATTTGGAAGAATGAATAAAAGCAACATTTAGGATAATCTTCTTTTGGTTGGCCTTTTCTTATTATGATTGGCAGTATTAGAAATAATTCTGTATCGTTCGTGATCATTTTCACAAATTACAGTTACTTAAAAAGAGGAGTGAATGATCGAGGACGGGTTGCAAATGATGTTGAAACAGAGCAGATTGTCCTTGATGAAGAAGCTGGTTCATGCCGAGGAAAAATGAGTTCTGTTGTGCAGATGCGTGGTTCTATTCCTCTTTTTTGGTCTCAAGAAGCCTCTAAATTTAGCCCCAAGCCAGATATTATCTGTAAGAATATCATTATCATTATCATGATTTTACTCATATATTTGGTTAAATTCCTGAACTGGAATTGCAGTTGTTTTGTTCTTTCTTAAAGAAACAAATTTCATCTGCAAGTGTGGTCTTGTTATGTACTCAAACACAAGAACACAACACAAAATAAAAAGATAACTATGTTGCAATATCAATAGAGAAACTGCAGTATCAATAGCCTTTTGAGAGAGCTATCTCTCTCTCAAGTCTCACAATGGACACTCCAACCAAAATGATCTCCTTCTAAGGTGCTCACCTCCTCTTATTTATAACCAAGACACCACTAGTTAATTATCCACATGTCCATACTACTATCATACTAATCTTACCAATATATCCTTTTTCCAGTATTCTCACATTACCCTGCCGTTCAAACACTATCGGATAACACTTGCTTGAAATCAGTGCATGTACAAGACAATCCCAAAATTGGGTAACATTTTTTTTATTGCATACACATACCCCAACCCCATTCTTATGGATAGAATCACACCAAGACGGGTTGGGTTCAGGGTTTAACATATGGAACAACCTGGCCCAAAATTGTTCAGGGTTTAACATATAGAACAACCTGGCCTAAAATCCACTTGCATACTTCTCATTCAAAACTACGCCTCTTCATGCAAATCCAGCCCATAAACCAAACTAAGGTTGATGCTGCAACCTTTTCCAATTGCTGACCCCACCACCTAACTCTTTTGTGTTAATTTCCCAAGGTTGTAAATGAGGTATTATTCAAATGAAGATTGGTTCAAGATTCAGTCTTACATTATTAGGATGATTTAATATTCTGAGTTTTCTTGACAACCAAATATAGTAGGATTAAGCCATTTTCGTGATGTGCAAAAGTTGGCCTGGATATTCATGGGTACCAAAAAAGAAGTTCCACACTATACTATACATTCCTAGGCTTCCAAAACATGCACTATCAGTATAATTTTCCTGAATACAGGCTCTTAAACCTAGATTTCCATAACTAGAACCTCTACATAGTTTTCCTAAACCATAGCTCAAGATTGCTGAATCAGCACCCTAAATGTAGGTTTCCTAAACCAAGGCATCTTCAACCCAGCGCTTAAAAGGCTTAGACATGAACCCAAGTTTAAGATGTCAAACCTGCGCCCCTACCCAGGTTTGGAGGCCTGTCTCCCAGGGCCCATCAAATTTATAGTCAGGCCAGCATTCTCCATTTCAAACTTATATTTATATTTAGACGCCATGATTTCTTGCCCAGTGGTGATTTGACTGTACTAGAATGCATTGGCAACGTGATATATTGCCCTTCTCTAGTGAGGGAAAAAAGGGTACGGGATGCAGTATGAGGCATTCTGAAAATGGAAATTGTAGGGAGATTGAGTAAATGATTGTTTGGATTAGGGATTGTAATCTTTTGACAGGAAACAATAATTGTACTGATGAAAACAGGAAAAATAAAAATAAAAATGCTGAAACCTTGTGATTTTTCCTTGTGTTTATCCTTTTTTTTTTTCTTTTTTTCTTTTTTTTTTATGAACTAGAAAAAATTTTCAAATTATCGATTAAAAGGAAATGTTCAGGCAACAAACTCCCAAGGAAGAGATGGGAAGGGGAAGAGGTGGAAAAAGAACAATAAGAACAATCTCAACAAGAAGCATTACAACCACAAAAGGATATTTTTCTTATGTTTATTGCTTTTGACTTTTCAGTACAGCGATATGATCCTACATATCAAGCTACAAAATTGCATTTCGAAGACCTTGCAATGAGATATGGGAATCCAATTATTGTTCTCAATTTAATTAAGGTACGTACTAAGATTTTAAATTTTGATCAGAAAGGCACAAATCATGATATATCTTGTTATTAGAGGGGGCAAGTGGCCTGGACAAATTCAGGATTTAATGGTATGAGAAGTTAAATGACCACAAAATCAGTGTGAGAAAAAGAATATATATAATGGGGCTAACCCATGTTGGATCTGGCTTCCTTTTTTGTTAGCCCATGTTCTTTCATTCATGTTGTAAAATTTGAGTATGAGTTGTTCTATGTGCACGTGCATGCATGCATTGGGAGGAATGATAGTTTTTTTTTTTTTTTTTTTTAACATGAATAACTTTTCATTGATAGATAAAAATACAAAATGTTCGATGAAACTATGTTCAGAAGGAGAAAAAGAAAAAAACTAAAAGCCAGCCAGGAGAAATGGGCCAAAATAATAGCCCCAAAAGAACCTATACCTACAGAGAAACAAGAACCTTTTAGTTTCTTGTTAAGCTTTAATATTTATCGTGGGCTTATTGGGAACATCCGGCCTATTTCTCTAGTATAAAAATGTGAGTTCCCCCTTCTTTAGAACATTAGGAAATAATAGTGAAGTTTTTCATTTGGTTTACTGCAAAATGTGGTATCAGCATCCGAATTCTCTGGGACCTGGAAAAAGGTTATGCCTAATCCAGCGGGGGCGTTTATAAAAACACCCAAAACACCACCTAAATCTTCTCCCCAAAACTACAATGTACGCTTGTTCTTGGTTGTACGATCCTTGAACAACTTACAAGACAGTGTAGGAGGAATGCAATAAATCCTTGGAGTAATGTCTAGACAGTTGGAACAAATCACAACAAACAAAAATCTAGAAGGTCGTGGAGCAAGATCGTGAACTTTTTTATTAGTGCTGGAAAGTGGAAATCTAAGGTGGGGAACATGACGTTTTAGATTTAACTATGACCTTCAATGTGTCTAGTCTGATATATTTTATTTTAACATTGTATTCAGGTCTGTCTGTTCTTTTCACTTCTTTTTGGTGGGAGTGAGACTTAATTTGGTGTCGGGAAGGTTTTAGAGGATAGTTATAATTGTCATCTTCTTGGATTTGCGTTTGTTTCTGGTTTATTTGTTCCCCCTGATACTTGCTAAATGCAAATGCAGACTGTTGAGAAAAGGCCTAGAGAAATGATGCTGAGGCGTGAATTTGCAAGTGCAGTTGGCTATTTGAATCAAATTCTTCCGGAAGAAAATCATCTTCAATTTATCCACTGGGACTTCCATAAATTTGCTAAGAGGTGGTTTGTTTGTTCTAAATATAAAGAACTTTATAATACAGTTTGATTTATCTGTATGCATTTTTTCGTTTTGATTTAATGCTTTGATTTCTTTCCTGATCATAGCAAGGCTGCAAATGTGTTGGCTGTCTTGGGTGCTGTGGCAAGTGAAGCACTTGACTTGACTGGTTTCTACTACAGTGGTAAGCCCAGTGTTGTGAAGAAAAAATCAAATCAAGTTAGTGGAACAAACACTTCAAGGTATGCTGTACGAACTTTTGTTCATCTGCAGTTTCCTCCCTTTGAAAAGGAAAGTAAACTTTTCATCCCATGGGAGAGGGTTTTTCATCTTTTGTTTTTTTTTTTTTTTGGTCATTTGAAGTTCGTTTGTGCTCAAGAATCTTAGATAGGTATGTGTGTATACATGTTCTTTAACAGGGATGGTGCCCTTGGAGATTTGAGGGCTAGTTCAGGGGATCTTGCTAAAATTGGGAGCAATACTGAAACGATAAGCACTGTTATTAGTCGAGAGAGAGAGGCTGCATCTAATCAGTATGATAAAATAAACAGCCATAGTAGTGAAGCATCACGCTTTCAGAGTGGAGTTCTACGTACAAACTGCATTGATTGTTTAGATCGAACAAATGTTGCACAATATGCTTATGGTCTTGCAGCTTTAGGCCGCCAACTCCATGCAATGGGTTTGACAAATATGCCTAAAGTGGATCCTGATAGTAGCATTGCTGCAGCTCTTATGGATATGTATCAGAGCATGGGGGATGCACTTGCTCAACAATATGGTGGCTCCGCTGCTCACAACACTGTACTTATACGTGCATAGATCTAAGTTCATATAAATATATTGATATTTGACACAACTCTAGATCCTTGTTAACAAATTCTTGTCCACAAATTAGGTGTTTCCAGAAAGGCAGGGAAAATGGAAAGCTACCACCCAATCTAGAGAGTTTATCAAATCTATCAAACGCTATTATCGCAATACTTGCACTGATGGTGAAAAACAAGATGCGATAAATTTGTATGTTCATGGGGTCTTATCTATGAATACACTTCACTTTCAGACAGGACATACTTTCTGAATTTTTCATACTCTTTTCTCAAGTTTATTCTTTCACAATGTAGAGAATAAAGTTTTGTTTTCACTTTTCTTTTTCTTAACTTCTTACACATGTATTGCCAGATTTTTAGGTTACTTTCAACCACAAGAAGGCAAACCTGCTTTGTGGGAACTGGATTCTGATTATTACCTTCATGTATCAGGGCTTGGAGATGATCTTTTTCCCGATAAGAGGTATAGTGTTAGCAGTCTTGACTATACATCCTAGGCATAATGTTATGCAGCTTTCAATTGTATTGGCACCTTGTGGTCCTTGTCTTCACTTATTCATGCAGTTCCACGGAATCATTGATATGTGTACAACATGCTATGCACATAGCATTTTTGCGTTTCAGTCTAGATAAGATGTATCGGCTATTAGGTTTATAGCATTCTGTTATTAGTTAGTGTTACAGATCTTATATTCTGACTGTTATTTTGGTATAAAGGGATTGACCTTGGATCGAAACAGCTTTTGAGTTACCATATAATGAGCTGCAAGAAATTTGATTGGTACAATTTCTCTCCATGAAATTCGTATAGAAGTTACATCAATCATGACTATGCCAAAAGTGGGCTTGGGCATTTCCGTAGAATACATTTTTTGTGTTTGTTTCTGCTTTTCGTGTTACAGTTACAGCTGACATATTATTGAATAATTGCAAGGAATTCATTCATATTTTCCATCCACCAAGTTTTGTAAACTTAATAGCTTATAATTGTTGCCAGTCTTATGTAGTTCCTTCCTAATTCTTACTTTGCAGTTTGGAAGCTGCCTCCAATTCTATTGTCGGAACAGCAATAACGCTTGAACCTATACCAGCATGCAGAGAAGATTTTTCTAGGATGAAGTTGACATCATTTAATAAATTGATTGAACGTACCTGTGGTTCAATAAAGAATGTAAGGATTTGGTGTGAGCCTGATCAGAAACCTGGAGGTAGTACAGGAAATTCCAGCATGGCACCCGATGCAGCGTAATTTTCTCATTAATCTTGAATGGTCTCTTTAATCTCTCTTGTTCATTGAGGTGCTAGATAAGGAGAAGTGGCACATTTAAAGAACTTTAATATATTGTACCTTTGTGTTGGTATCATTTATCAATTCAGATCTTTGTCTATTAAATTATGAGATAGCATTGCATACGGGCTAGTTAAACTTAGTAAATTCTTGGAACAGTTATCAAAGCGGCAGTGAATTAAACTGACTTTTATGCAGTGAAATTCAACTCAGAAGCCCAAATTGGCTGTTTGGTCAGAGGAGGTATGAAGAAAGTAGCCCTGGTTCCAAAGGTGTTTCACATGAAGCTGCAGTCTGTACAACTGAGGATAACATAAAAATTGACGGGTTCTGTGATTTAAACAAGCTTTCTTCTAGTGACAATTTCAATGATGAGGAAATCTTCCAAAGGTAAATCTTCTATGACTACTAATATTTTACTCTATAATATTTTTTTCCTACTCCTGTCAAACATATCTCTGTTAATTTGTGTGCTTCAGTGCAAACAAATTATAGGCCTCTCTCCTCATATATTGAACTATCTGTGATATCTTGAGATCGGATGAAAATCTAGTTTTGATTAAATCATCGAAATCTAATGAAATTTAGGGAAAATGTGCCTAATTATTTTGCTTTAGGTTCCAAATGCCCGAGCCTCTGGTCCCTTAAGGAAGTATAGAGGTTCACCAATAGGCCAGAGGACTTCCTATATTGGTACCTGTCACTTAAAAAAATTATAATTATAGAAATCTTTCGCCTGGTGCACCAAAGAGTAATTTTGCTTTTAAAGGTATGTTCAGAAAGTGGCTATATGCAGTATCTTACCGGAGGCTGCCATGGCATGTGGATCAATTACCGCCAGCATCGCTTTCCACTTGTTTACTTCCAATTCCTACGGCACCCAATGAAGTTGATAGGTGTAGTTCATGGATCTGGAAAATAGTTTTATTTCTTTATCATATAAAAAGAGAAATAAAACAATTTAATTTCTGTTTGTTAACCATCCAATGTATTCTCGTCACCTATTATTTAAGGTTGAACTTCTGTGCATAGTACAATAATTCTCTCTCTAATCAATGGCAGGTACAATCTTCAAGTCAGAAATCTTCTCTATCCCTATGTGGTTAAATATTTATTTAAAAGTGCTTTCAGGTTATAATTATATTGTTATTACTTGGTGATGTCAAGGTACCTTGCAATGACATCAATTGAAGAAGCCAATGGTTGGTATGGGGGTACTCTACTTGGTGATCAAGATGAAAGCAGTGAAATATATACACACTATTCTGAGTTATGTGAGGTAATCGGATTCCGTACTCAGGCTTGTTGCATTTATATTCAAATGAGCAGTTATAGTTTGACATGTATTCATTTGGCTACCATGATATGCCGTTTGAAATTTGTTCTTAATCTTCTTTTTTTTTTTTTTCTTTCATTATTTTTTTCTCATTTTATAGTTGCATAATCGTGAGAGATGCTATTTATTGAAGTATGACAAATATATTTAACAAAAAAAGGCAGAAGTTGTCCTCTTTTTGACAATTGTCTTCCTAGCAAACTTGCTAATGAAACTCTCTGAGCGCAATGATTTCCCTCTCCAAGTGATTTATTTGCTAAGAAACACTTTGATAATATATCAAGTATGCTCTGACTGTTTGAGTTTGTAAGGTATTCCATACTGTTCTATTGCAAAATAAACCAACCAACACAAATCAGAGGTAGAACCCTCTGCTTTTTCAGATACAATAACTCTTCATCAAATAGAACTTATTTTGGATTTTATCTTGGTTAAATAATCTGGATTTAATTGGGTTAAATGGACGAGTTGATTGGAACCTCTTTTCTTTCTTCTTCTTTTTTTCTTTTTTTTTTTTTTTTTTTTTTTTTTTTTTTTTTTTTTTTTTAGTTGGGCTATTTGGATTGATCCTTGAAATCTAATTTGAGTAACTTAGATTTAATGTGGATAAATGGGGTGATTGCGAAATTGACATGCTTTGGAATTTTGATCTACAGGGCCCTGCCATGATGTCTTTCCAGAATGATCCTGAAAGGGAGAAGCACTATGCTGATCTTTTACGCATGGGTGCGATTGATGTTATGGATAATGCTTCTATAGATGAAGACATGGAGGCGGCTTTGAAGGAGTATGATGAAGTTGGTGTAGATCTTGGCATCATACCTTCATCGTGCAAGTACTTCGCCGAAGATCCTAGTTGGTTGACTAGATGGATCATTGGAGAAGAGAAACTTCAAAGGATATAAGTTGAGAATGAAAAAACCCATTTGCATTACCAATTATGAGTAGCTTGTCTGCATGTTCTTCAAACATTTTGCGAATAAACGAAGTAGGAGTTAAGGTGAAAACCGAGATACAATGTAAAAATGTGGTTGTGTTTCTCAAATAGGATCAACTGGGTTGACATTTGCATATGTAATGACATGGCTTTTTAAATAATATTACACTGGAATGGCTATCAAATTCATGCGTTAAGTCCTTTCAAAATTTAAAGAAACCGTAAAAGCCTTCCAAATAGAAACATGCTTCGATTTTGAACTAAACAAAAAATCATGGTTCATAAATTGAGGTCTGGAGAATGAAATTCTCTTCCTAATATTTAAAATGGTGCATGTCCACGTCTAAGAAAGTATTCACCTTACCCATTAATACTGTCATTCCTTCATCTTCTCTAGTTTTGGTCTTCAGATTTGGGTCCTATGCACGCTGCCCACATCTCTTCTTCTCCCTTCTTCCATTACTTCTTAAAATATGTTGTATGGCAAGTACTTCGCCGTTGTGCCTCGGACGAGAGTTAGGTTAGTTAGTCTGTCTAGGCACGCCGGAAATGCTTCTGCCTTAGCCACGGCTGTCAGTTCTTTGGCCCATTTTCCATTCTGAGGAGAGAATCGATAAGCCAGAGTTTGTAAGGAGGGAGAAGATGGCTTTCTTTCCCCTTCCATTTTATGGAAAGGTAAGAGACAAATAAAATTAGTGGGACACGTGACAGGCAGCAGAAACCAAAGCAACCAAGTTTTGTTCTTACTTCAATTGCACACGTTGAGATACATTGTCGAAACATCTGTCCTTCTATATGTACTACGTGTCACTTCTGGCTGTGCACTATCTTCCTGGTTGCTTAATAAATAAATGTCTGCTACTTCTTTTCGACACCTTCAACTAAATCATCATGCCCAACCTATTCGCTTTGTGTCTCGTCATTACTTCTTTAACTGCGGCGGGACTCTGGTCTCCTTCCCCGGCGTCCCGGCAAGATCACGAGCAGGATGTTATTGTTAAAGAAGGTCACCGAGTGGTTGTGGTCGAGTATGGCGACCAAGGTCAACACAATACTAAGGTTTCCATCTCTTCCGAACCCACCAAAGATGCCTCCCCTAGCAACCCACTACATGATAGTTTAAATATTGGGATCCCCAACGAAGACTCCGAAAGGCACCGCACCAGAGATCTTATTTGCGATGCCTTGGGCAAATGTAAGCATAAGATAGCCAGTGCTGTGGGGAAGGCTAAAGTAATGGTTTCGGAGACGGCGCAGGAGGCCCACGACGTTGGAGAGGCTGTTGCTGGTGCTTTCGATGAAGCCAAAGAGACAGTTTCAGACAAATCTCACCACGTGGGAACGTCGTTCTCAGAGAAAGGGCATCGATTGAGGGAGTCGGTTGAGAAAGCCAGAGAGGATGCCGACGAGTTCCTGGAGAAAACGAAAGAGACGGTTTTGGAGAAAGCACGTGACTTGAAAGAGGGTGCAAAGGATGTATTGAAGGAAGGCAAAGCACGTGACTTGAAAGAGGGTGCAATGGAGAAAGGGAGAGAAGCAAGACAAACTGCGGAGAAGATTAAAACTGGTGGAAACAAGGTCAAGGAGAATCTGATGGGTATTCCTGATGGAGGATTAAAGCTAGTAAATGATTCCTTTAGGTACTTGAGGTCGTTAGAGTCGTGGAAAGCGGCGATGGATGTGTTGAGTCTGTTGGGATTTGGTATGGCTTTGGGAATGGGCGTGTGGACTACCTTCATCTCTAGCTATGTGCTGGCGAGTGCGTTGCCAAGGCAGCAGTTGGCAGTGGTACAGAGCAAGATATATCCCCTGTATTTTAGGGCCATGGCTTCCAGCATTGGGATGGCCCTATTCGGGCATCTATTCAGCCGCACAAAATGGATGTTCCCAATTCCGAAAAATGCTGAAGTGGTCCAAGGATATGTACTTGTGGCTGCACTTTTGATGATTTTTGCCAATTCTCTCTACATGGAGCCCCAAGCCACCAAGGTATCTTCTGCCCGCTGCTCCACCTTGAGTTTTTTTAGTTTTGTACTAATTCCCTGTTATTGTGTATTTATTCCTGTGCAGGTAATGTTTGAGAGATTAAAAGTGGAGAAGGAAGAAGGAAAAGGAATTGAAGACATAGCCGCTGAACCTCGGGACGCCAATGATAATCCCCCAGCAGTCACAACCAGCACAGCCACACAAGTCGTAGAACGAGAGGCGGTGAAGTCCAGAATCGTGGGGTTGAATAAGAGGCTGAAGAAGCTGAATTCGTATTCATCCTTGTTAAACCTGCTCACTCTGATGGCTCTCACCTGGCATCTTGTGTACCTGAGCCAGCGTCTGTGCATCCCCTGCTAATATAACAATATTTTTCTTTTCCTGGTTTTGTTTTTGATGTGTGCATATTTTACCTGAAGTAGACCGTGTTTAGGCGGTTGGTACCAAAGTTGGTTAGTTTCAACTTATTGTCGGTGCTAAGTGGTTATATAATGTATTTTAGATTGTTTATTTCCTGTCTAATGAACTATTTTAGATTGTTTATTTCCTATTTAATGATTAGGTGCTAAGTTCCCTGTGTATCCTGTTTGATTGAGGAGCTCAACAACTAGAAGCCTGAAAGATCCCCACAATTAGGAGCGTAGGAGGGAGGGTGGGATCACATGGAACATACCCTTAAGGTCTACTAAACGATGGAAGAAAAATCTTCATGAGGTAGAGGACTTTTAAATAGAGGGTGAAACTGGTAAGTATATCACTAAAAGGTCAGAGAATTTGGGAATGGAGACATCTCGCTTTATAACCATTCCATTTACCTATTTTGGTTCGCAATTTTGGGCTTTGGTTGAGCTTGGGTCTAGGGTCTTGGGTCTGGGGTTTTTACGGGTTTGGGGGTTAGAGGGATAGGGTTAGGGGTAGGCGTTTGGGGTTTCGGGGTTTCGGGTTTCGGGTTTAGGGTTTAGGGTTTAGGGTTTCAAGTTTTGGGTTTAGGGTTTCAAGTTTCGGGTTGAGGGTTGAGGGTTGAGGGGTTTAGGGGATTATGGGATTAGGGTTTAGGGTTTAGGGTTTAGGGGTTTAGGATTTTTAGGGTTTAGGGGTTCGGGGGTTTAGGGTTCGGGGTTTCGGGGTGCGGGGATTTGGGGTTTAGGGGTTAGGGGTTAGGGGGTTAGAGGGATAGGGTTAGGGGTAGGCATTTGCGGTTTGGGGTTTCAGGGTTTGGGGTTTGGGGTTTTCGGGTTTTCGGGTTTAGGGTTTAGGGTTTCAAGTTTCAGGTTTAGGGTTTTCGGGTTTATGCTTTAGGGTTTCAAGTTTCGGGTTTTCAGGTTTTCGGGTTTAGGGTTGAGGGTTGAGGGTTGAGGGTTGAGGGTTGAGGGTTTAGAGTTTAGAGTTTAGGGGTTTAGGGGATTATGGGATTAGGGTTTAGGGTTTAGGGTTTCAAGTTTCAGGTTTAGGGTTTTCGGGTTTATGCTTTAGGGTTTCAAGTGTTGGGTTTAGGGATTCAAGTTTCGGGTTTTCGGGTTTTCGGGATTTAGGGTTGAGGGTTGAGGGTTTAGGGTTTAGGGGTTTAGGGGATTAGGGGATCATGGGATTAGGGTTTAGGGTTTAGGGTTTAGGGTTTAGGGGTTCAGGATTTAGGGGTTCGGGGGTTCGGGGTTTCGGGGTGCGGGGATTTGGGGTTTAGGGTTTTGGGTTTTAGGGTTTAGGGTTTCGGGTTTAGGGTTTAGGGTTTAGGGTTTAGGGTTTAGGGTTTAGGGTTTAGGGTTTTAGGGTTTAGGGTTTAGGGTTTAGGGTTTAGGGTTTAGGGTTTAGGGTTTTAGGGTTTTTGGGTTTATGGGTTTTTGGGTTTTTGGTTTTTTGGTTTTAGGGTTTAGGGTTTAGGGTTTAGGGTTTAGGGTTTAGGGTTTAGGGTTAAGGGTTTTAGGGTTTTTGGGTTTAAGGGTTAAGGGTTTAAGGGTTTTTGGGTTTAGGGGTTTAGGGGTTTAGGGTTTAGGGGTTTAGGGTTTAGGGGTTAGGGGTTTAGGGTTTAGGGGTTTAGGGGTTTAGGGTTTAGGGGTTTAGGGGTTTAGGGGTTTAGGGGTTTTAGGGTTTAGGGTTTAGGGTTTAGGGTTTAGGGTTTAGGGTTTAGGGTTTAGGGTTTAGGGTTTAGGGTTTAGGGTTTAGGGTTTAGGGTTTAGGGTTTAGGGTTTAGGGTTTAGGGTTTAGGGTTTAGGGTTTTAGGGTTTTAGGGTTTTAGGGTTTAGGGTTTAGGGTTTAGGGTTTTAGGGTTTAGGGTTTTAGGGTTTTAGGGTTTTAGGGTTTTAGGGTTTTAGGGTTTTAGGGTTTTAGGGTTTTAGGGTTTTAGGGTTTTAGGGTTTAGGGTTTTAGGGTTTAGGGGTTTTAGGGTTTAGGGTTAGGGGTTTAGGGGTTTAGGGTTTAGGGTTTAGGGTTTAGGGGTTTAGGGGTTTAGGGTTAGGGTTTAGGGGTTTAGGGGTTTAGGGTTTAGGGGTTTAGGGTTTAGGGGTTAGGGGTTTCGGGTTTAGGGTTTAGGGTTTAGGGTTTAGGGTTTAGGGTTTAGGGTTTAGGGTTTAGGGTTTAGGGTTTAGGGTTTAGGGTTTAGGGTTTAGGGTT